ATCGATCTTGGGTCGCCTGGTTCATAGCGCAGCGCGCTAACCGCTGCACTACCGCTCCCTACACACACACAGACGTATAATCACACACATACGCACCGGTACAAACACACATGCATCGAGACACAACACATAGTTGCATGAAGGAGCATTCACAATGGACCACTGCAGCCTTTCACAGACTGTTGGGACACTTTCTGTTAGCGAGCACCTATTAAGTCCGAAACGGCACCACACGTACATACACAGAAAAATAAACCTCGTGTCGCCTCCAATAGTATTGGGGAAAGCGCTGTTTGCAAGCACCATATATTAATACTATACATACAAAAAAGACAAATATCTCCCTCCGTATAGCCTTTACAGACTTTTTTGTTGTTAGCGAGCACCTATTAAGGCCAACACGGCACACGCGGGGTGGTGTGGTCAGGACCACGCCCGGCCGCCTTTGTCTCCCCAGTGGCAATATTTACACACGGCACCAGGTACTCGCTCGAGGCTGAGTCGACCTAGGCGAGACCCAGGACCGGTTCAGATAATCGTCACCGGTGTTGTGCACGTGAGCGGGTCGCCGGGTTCGTAACGCAATGCGCTAACCGCTGCGCCACCGCTCCCCAGATACACTACACTACACGCACGCTCACTCGAGACGCGCGCGCTCCGGAAACTCTTCCCGCTATCAAAGGCAGTTGTCGTGCGTGACACGCGGTGTTGTCTATAACCCAGAGAGGTAAATTCACCGTTCCGCACACCTGCTAGCCAATAACCTCGAGTATCTGACACCTTATCAAAGCTGTAGAAACCGTACGGACAACCGCAAGCCACGGATGAGCGTATGTGCACGATCGCCTCGTATGACCCAGTGTTTTTTTAGATAGACATATATATAAACGCGTTACAACAAAGGTCCGCCTATAGCCTTTGAAGAAGACTGCTTGTTGAAACTGCTGTTAGCGAGCACCTATTGTGAAAACCGCCTGGCACGCGAGGTAGGTGATGTGACCAGCACCACGCCGGGCCGCCTTTGTCTCCCCCCCCCACCCCCCCAGTGCTGATATTTACATCCAACCATCAGGAAGTCATTTAAGGCCGAGTTAGTGGGGCTACAGGGGTATACCTAGGACCGATTTAGATATTCGCCGCTGATGATGACGACGATGACCGTGGGTGAGTCTCGAAGTCAAGTGACTGATTGTGTTCGTAGCGCAGCACGCTACCAACTACACAGACAAAGCTCCCCCGTATGGGATTGACAATCTTTCGGGGGCAAGTGCTGCTAGCGAACACCTACGAAGGCCCACTCAACCACCGCTCCCACACAAAGACAAAGAACCCCGTGTGGCCTTAAACAGACTGTTGGGGTCAGCACCGTGGCGCACGGGAGGGGTGGTGGGTAGGGCAGCACCACGCCCGGCCGCCTTTGTCTCCCCAGTGGCGATGTTTAGGCTGAGTCGATCTCAGGCGAGCCCCCTCGCGTGCCGTGCCGGCCTTTATCGGTTCTCGATAACAGCACTTGCCCTAAAAGTTTGTTTAGGCTATACGGGTTATCTTTGTCTATATTATCAGTGCCACGTGTGTGTGTGTGAGCGTGTGTTCTGTATATGTGTCCGTGCGCGTGTGTGTGTATTAAACAAAGATACACACAACGACGCCCGTATAGCCTGAACAGATTGTTGGGGCAAGTGCTGTTAGCGAGTAGCACCTATGAAGGCCGGCACGGCACACGAGGGAGTGGGTGGCCGACACCACCCCCGGCCGTCTTTGTCTCCTCCAGTGGCGATTTTACACACCGCACCAGGTACTCATTTGAGGCTGAGTCGACCTAGGGGAGGCCCAGGACCGCTCCCATGCACACACACACACACTCACACGAGGTGTTACTCAAATTAGCCCGTAACATCCTAATGCAGTCCTACTCAGAAATAATTTGCCTATTTTAGTCGAGGCAAGCGTCCAAGAAGGCATGAAATTAAATGTGTTCTTCCTTATGGATTTGCAACTATAGCATCATACGAGTATCATGCGAATATTGGACTCGTACAAATTGTGTGTGTCAGTCATTCCGCTTATGACTCGAGACTGAATGCAGTGCAAAGGAAAAGCGATTTACCAGAAATGAAAATCAGTGGGGGAAAAAACCTAAATCTTTTATAAAATGCGATAATTTTTTTTATTTGCGTACCTAATCTGGAGAGCGGCAATAATAATAAAAATAATCGTTTAGCACCTCCGATTAGCACGGTTGGCTATGTATGGTGCGAAAGAAGTTCAACACACGCAACTTGTTGGTGTTAATTGCTCGAGAGAGACTCCTATTGACAGCTGGGTTGAATGACATGTTTTGTAAATAATCAACTTCGTAATTATTATTACCATCACCAGAAAAATGATCATAATTCAACTATTGATGATGTTATATACGCGTGTGTGTGTCCGTCATTCTTTAACTCCATAACCAAGAGGGATATATATTAAAAAAAAGATTATTCTATACAGTATATATACACATAATCTTAATATTTAGTTATACTTGAAAAATCCGAAGAGCTACAAAGCTCTTTTTTAACAAATGTCATGGCCACTTGTGATGAAAACCAATCAATGGAACGAGTTCCTTACGCAATGGAAGTTACATCATCAGCAACAATAACAAACACAAGGACATACATAGGACCACGCATGAAGACACATCATCTCTCCTATAATAATCATCATCATCCTTACAGGCTGCGAGGGTAAGCAAATGTTTGCGAGCACCTATTAATACCTGCGGAGTTTGGGCACAGACGACGAAGAGGGTTTGGGAACGGAGACGCGGCTCCTCTTCACCCCTCGCCGGCTCACGTTGGCGCACAGCCGTCGACGTTCATGCCGAGCGGACCAAGGGGAGAGCCGAGCCCGATTCAGACGCCGCCGCCGCCGACGTCCATCGCGGGTTTGTGCGCCCATCGCTGACCACAGCAATCGCTCTGACGAGGGCGAGACAGCGGGATGGCCTCGCGGCAGCGGAATCCCTGAATCGTTTATTCTGCCGCTGAGCTTTGAGCGCGTTGCCCCGATGGATTTTTTCTTCGCTCGCCGCTCCGTATCTGTGTGTTCTCCCCGCGCGCGTACCAAACGCAGCGATGCACGAACGGAATGTTGCTAACGTGTCGGAATTCAGGCACCCCCTCCCTCCCCCCCCTCTTGAATACGAGTCTTGAGACTCCTTCTCTGGGGGTACACGGAGGGCGTCATTGTTTTTAAAGGGGGGATGAGTTCGAAGAACGGCTGCAACGGCTGCTGTCAGCGGAGAGCGACGCGTTAAAGGTTCGCCGTACCCACTCTGTCACTGCCGGGACGCATTGACCAAAGACACACACACACAGTAGCAGCAGCAGCAGTGGATAGAAAATGGATAAAGCGAGTAACCGATGGATTTGTTTCTGGCATCATCCATTGACACTTGCTGGACTGGGGATACGGCCGGAAAAAGAAATTTAAAAAATCGTGCGGAGTTTTTTTGGACCAGGTGCCCTTCTCGAATGCGTCGTGGGGTTTCAGGGAGTACTCCGGTTTCATCCAACGTGAAACCAAATTACTTACTTAGAAGAGAATGGACGAATAGATCAATCATAACACTCGCGTTTGGAGGAAGAAAAAAAGATCAACGTATCAAAAAGTACGATATGCAGCAGGACCCTTCTTGAAAAATAGTGTCAAGTTTCGGTGTGGTTCAGACTCGGCATGGCCTACTCTCGCTATGGCTACGACTCGGTATGGCTAAGTCTGGGTATGGCTAAGTCTCGCTATGGCTAAGTCTCGCTATGGCTAAGTCTCGCTATGGCTAAGTCTCGCTATGGCTAAGGCTCGCTATGGCTAATTCTAGCTATGGCTAAGTCTCGCTATGGCTAAGTCTCTCTATGGCCAAGTCTCGCTATGGCTAAGTCTCGCGATGGCTAAGACTCGCGATATGGCTAAGTCTCTCTATGGCCAAGTCTCGCTATGGCTAAGTCTCGCGATGGCTAAGACTCGCGATATGGCTAAGACTCGCGATGGCTAAGTCTCGCTATGGCTAAGTCTCGCTATGGCTAAGTCTGGGTATGGCTAAGTCTAGCTATGGCTAGGTCTCTCTATGGCTAAGTCTCTCTATGGCTAAGTCTCGCTATGGCTAAGTCTCGCTATGGCTAAGTCTCGCTATGGCTAAGTCTAGCTATGGCAAAGTCTCTCTATGGCTAAGTCTCTCTATGGCTAAGTCTGGGTATGGCTAAGTCTCGCGATGGCTAAGTCTCGCGATGGCTAAATCTCGCTATGGCTAAGACTCGCTATGGCTAAGTCTCGCTATGGCTAAGTCTAGCTATGGCAAAGTCTCTCTATGGCTAAGTCTCTCTATGGCTAAGTCTCGCGATGGCTAAGTCTCGCGATGGCTAAGTCTCGCGATGGCTAAGTCTCGCGATGGCTAAATCTCGCTATGGCTAAGACTGTGATCATCATTGTCATCGCAGAACCGTGAGCGATGGCAACAGCTTGGGGGTTGGGGGGGTTGGGTACGGTTCCATCCAGCAGTGGATTCACGATGGTTAATGAGGAAGATCACCACCACCACCATCATCATCATCATCACAGTCGTCGCTTGAGTCCCACCTGCGACACTCCAGGCTGGCGACTGTGCAGTCCGCTTCACGCGGAACGCCGTGGATGGAGCCAGCGGCTCCGCGCGCGGCACGGCGGCGGAGGGGATGAGGACGGGTGACAGGGCCGGCAGGGTTTGGATAGCGAGGGGTGGTGGTGGTGGGGGGTGGTGAGCGTGGGGGGGGGGGGTGTGTGGGGGGGTGGTCAGCCACCCTCTAGCATCACCACCCTCCCCGCCCTCTCCGTGTCGTCCAATGATAGGAGTCCGAGCCGTGCGCGCCGAGACCGACTCGCGTGGTCACCGGAGCAGAGAGCTCGGCACGGATTGGCGGGGACGTGGGGGCCCCGGGGCGGGAGGGATCAGGGACCCCCGATATAGGGGCCCTGGGCACGACCAGGCCGGCCGAGTAGGCGTTCCGACGCCGCAGGGGGAAGCGACTTTTTTGGCTTCCTCGAAAAAAAATTGTCCCGAGATCTCTCTGAAAATTCTGCTCCTTTCTTCACGCGTCTCGCTTTCTGAGCTTGTAAAGAAGTCTCTCTCTCGCTCTCTCTCCCTCTCCCTGTGTGTATTTTTGTAAAGAAGTCTCTCTCTCGCTCTCTCTCCCTCTCCCTGTGTGTATTTTTTTTCTTGTTTAAAATAATTTATTTCTTAGATTTTTTGTTGTTGTTGGTGTCGGCCGACGTCAGTGCAAGAGGGGTGTGTCAGGCCAGCCGAAGCCAGGGTCTCAAATCCAAGGGGGACTTCGAGGCGAGGGAGAAGACGATATTTGCGACAATATCGGAGCAACTCGCGAGGGAGTTGGCCGGCGGGAGGGAGGCAGAGAAGAGTGTTGGAGGCGTTCCGGGAGAGACAGACAGAGAGAGATGACTCTTGACCATCCAGCCAAGCCTGCGTTGGAATTCTAAGCGTCCACACAACTCTTGGGATTCTCGCCAGAATTTTTTAAAATGTTGTGTTTGTATACAGTATACATATTCCTTCCCAGCCTGCCTCCTCTCCCACCCCACACCGCCACCCTCCCGCTCTAACCCCCCCCCCCACCCCCCCCAATCATCCTCAAACCCCGTACTCACCGCTCCTCCATCCTATTTGCATCCTCGTTCAAAATTGAACAGAGCGACTTCGACGCCAGTAAATAGAACACACCACTGATAATGATGCCACCGCTGCTGCTAGCTGCTAGCGCGTCCGATTAATGCGGAGGGGGGAGGTGGCGAAGGTCGAGGAGGAGGAGGAGGTGGGGTGAGACGTGAATCAGAGGCGCGGTTGAGAGAGAGAGAGAGAAGGAGAGAGCCCTTTGCGCATTTACAGAGTGGCGTGCAAGAAGGAGATCGTCGTCGTCGTCGTCATCATCACCGGGCGAGCGGATGAGGCATCTCCACACCATCTCTTTCGTAACCCTTCAAACTCCACCGCACGCGCACGTGTCCTCTCGCTTGAGTTGCTCGAGAGGTCCCGATCGACTTCTCGTTTTGAGTAAAAAAAAATCCACCGCGAGACGAACGACGACGAGAAAGTTTCCCCGCGCAAGTTTGTAGACGAGCGAACCCCAAGCGACTCGTGCCACGGAAGTTTCCCCGCGGCTTGCCGCGACTCGAGGCCCGCCTCGACCCCCCCCCCCCCCCTCGTGCGCTTCCCTCCAACGGCGCCACGCGATCGACGAGGGCCGTGACAGCCGCCACCGCCGCTGCCGACGCACGCGTTAAGTAACCCACGAGCGGAGTTGCTTTGCGCTTCTATTATTAGCCATGGGTCTTTCTTCGCTCCTCGTTGTATCATCGTCGCAATCAGCAGCAGCAGCAGCGTCGTCATCCTCGCCGCTACTTCCACCACCGCTACTGCTACAACTGCCGCTGCTGCACGTCTGACAAAGTTCCGAGCGACCCGAGGAACCGCGGGTGGGTTGACGCGCGTGAGACGCTCGCTCGCTCGTTCGCTCGTACGAACACTGGACACGTGCCGCAGCAACAACAACAAAAACAGCAACAGCAGCAGCAACAGCAGCAGCAACAGCAACAGCCGCTACAATCATCATCCGCCGTCCCCGCGGCTCACGATGAGCGTCGCTGGCGGCTTCTCGCACCCGGCGTCCGTGCTGCCTCGCGAGGCGATATACGGAGGCTTCGCGCCCGCCGCTCGCCTCGCTCTGCAGGGCCACCCATCGCCCCCGTTGCCCGCGCCCTCCTACCTGCACTCGTGGCTGCTCGGACACCCGGGCGGCGGTGGAGGCGCCGAGTACTCGTCGGGACCGCCTGCTGTCCTGCAGCAGTTGCAGCAGGAGCAGCTGCAGCTGCAGTTGATTCCGCAGCAGCAGCAGCAACAACATTCACGAATCGCGCAGCAGCAGCAGCACAGCACGACCGTGACGACGCACAGCTGCGTGTACGGCTCAAGCCCTGAGCGGCCAGACTTGGACAGCCAACAACACCATCATCATCACCATCACCACCACCACCATCATCCGCAGCAGCAGCAGCAACAGCATCATCATGAACAGCACCAGCATCATCAGCACTCGCAGCATCCGCAACATCAACAGCAGCAGCAGCAGCACGGGGAGGCGCTTCTGCAACAGGAGGGAGGGGAGCCGTCCCTGCTGCAGGCCGCGGGTCCTTACTGCCCGCCCGTGAAGCGGCGAGGAACCGCAAATCGCAAGGAGCGGCGGAGGACATTGAGCATCAACAGCGCCTTCGCCGAGCTACGGTACGTGGGGTCATCACCACCACCACCACCACCGCCACAGTCAGCAGGGTCATCACCGTGATGGTCATCATCATCCACATCAGGGTCGTCATCATCACCATTTACCGACGAGTCTATGTACGAAATGTATCAGTCATCTCGACTCTCCGCACGCTCTCCTACCTCTTACCCTGTCATCTCACTCGACTCCCAATCCCCCCTACGTGCTCTCCTACCTCTTCCCTCTCATCTAACCGTGCTGCCTAGCAGACCGGACCGGTTGGTGAGTCCACTATCACAGCACCTCCCTACAGTATTTTCATAAAAAATCGGCTCCAGCCCGCAATGTTGTAAATCAACACCATCGCCATCATCATCACCACCATCACCACCACCACCACCATCATCACCACCATCACCATGATTGCCGTCTGTTTTAGCCAGCGCGCCGGTGCAGCACAACAATAATAACACGACCCTAGCTGTGGTGGTGTACGTTTGTTGGACTTCTTTCGCACCGTACGCACCGATCTCGGCTAACGAGTACTGCGCGAAAGAAGTTCAACGTACACACTACGGGTGTGAGAGTTAAGTGCATTGCATTGCTTATAAATTGTCAGCCACGACTGATTGTATATTGAAGGTGAATACCCGACCCCGCGGGGTGTAGACCAATCTTGCTTACGCAAAACAAAACGCAAATACAGATTCGCGATCTGCATGCGCGCGTGTGTGTGTGTGTTGAACTTATCTCGCACCGTTCGTAGCCAACCGTGCTCATCGGAGGTGCGGGGTTGTAGAGAACGGGCAATCTTTACGATTGCTGATCGTGATCATAACGACGACGGTGATTATTCAACGATGGTTGATTGTATCGATGATCTCGAATAATGTTGGTTTTTTTAAATATATATACAGTATACCGTTACAAATCACATCACGCCACCATCACCACCACCATCGTTATCGTCTCTCAAACGACGCATGCCGGACACGACAAACGGAATTAGGTACGGGGTGATCCATTTATAGACACTCCCACCACCATCAGCACCCGTGATACAAAATAAGGGGAGCTTATGGAGAAAACGGCGCAACGCTGTTGTCGCAAAGCCCCTTGTACACACGTCTCCTAACAATCCCAACAGCACGCATTAAACATCGCAACGCTCTCCTCTCTATAAGAGTCACGATATTCACTCACCGGTTTGGGGGGGGGGGGGGGTGAGGGTGTGTGTGCAGGGTACATCACTGGGGTATGTGCGGATGAATCAGCCGGTACATTAGACTGAGAAATTTTGACTTAAAGCATTTCGTGACTGCAAGGAATTCATATTGTTTGGGTCTTTCGGTATAGCCACGTCGGTAGAGGAAGAAATAATTATGAAAATAATAAGAATATTAGACGGAGAACTTGGCGCGCGTGTTCCTGCACGAGGCAGCGGGGCTCTGCGACAAGTCGATAAACCCCTCCAAATCACAAACGAGGCATTGGGGAGGGGGAGAGAGAAGGCGATTGAATCCCCTGCGAAGCGAACAGCTGTTTAATGATGCGACGCGATTATCATTAGAATCAGACATAGATAGATCGATCGAGAGATTAAAAGCATAGCAGAATAATCATATTATTATATTATTATTATTATTTACTATGAGGTATAACCCTGTGAGCCATGCGGCTCTTGACTCAGGTACAACCACAACAAACAACAACACGAACGAAAAAACATCTTAAAGCGACTACGCGCAACAGAAAAATCCAGGAAAAAAACAGCTCTTTGCAAATCCACTGCTGGATGATCGCCTATCCCACGGCGTGGTGGTGGTCACGCGGGGTTACTCGAGCCATGCGTTACCAAGCTGTTGCGACTCACCTCGACACCTGGAGGGGTCAACGTGACCCCCCCCCCAATGCCTCCCTCCCTGCCGGCCCCCTCCACTCTAGGGATGTGGTCAGCGACAGACCCGAGCCTCGCAGTTGTCCAGGAGTGACCTCTGACCGGCCTCGCCAGTTGCCCTCAGGGCCCCTCTTTCCACACAGCTAATGACGAAGTGATTGTCCCCTGACTCGGCACGATTGTCATAATTAATATGTACCAGAGGGGTTTTTGTTGTTGCAGATTGTAAATGTTGTGGCTTGGCTCTCCAACACACCGGTTAGTGCTGTACTAGTAACGAATTGGCCACGTTCTGTTTACGTGACAACCCTTACTAGTTGGCTGTGTCGGGTGGTCGCGGGTTTTTCACGACACATTTATCTAACCCAACAAACTCGATTATGGATGATATTGGTCGCGAAAGTCTTCGTGTTGGACCAATAAACTGTGCATTTGGAACTTGTTTTCGTACCGCACGTAGCCAACCGTGCTAGTCGGAGGTGCGGGTAATTTGGATGAGGATCTCCCCGTGACCATACTTCACCATTATGCGAGAGCCACGGTGGCTAGGAGATGTTTACTACCTCGCCTGGTATACAGGAGGTCCTGGGTTCGATCCCGACCCTGACGCCTGCTGCTGTATATTTGGAGTTTGCGTCTCTCTCTCTGCCCGTGGTTGCGTGGATTTTTCTCCGGGTCCTCCGAGTTTTGCCCCTCCTGCCGTTATAAACTTCTACACGATAAGCCCCTTCGTTGAGCTATCATTTGTGATAGCCAGGTCGCTTCTGAATAATAACTACATAGCTCAGTGGGTGCCTTACCTTGTAAAATAAAAACACAAAAATACTTTGTAGTTTAGTTTGGTTCGTGCGGGTCGGTGAAGGCGGGGAGCGGTGGGAGAGTGCGCAATCGGGGTCCATATCTGTGACCACGAATGTTAGCTGCTCCGGGGGAATTCAATTCAGGCCAGAACCACGCCCGGCCGCCTTTGTCACCCTCCCCCCCCCCCCCCCCCCCCCCCCAGTGCTGATGTTTACACAATACACCGCAATGGGCACTCGTTGAAGGCGGAGTCGACCTAGGGCAGGCCCAGGACCGCTCCAGACATTCGCCACCGGAGTTGCACGCGTGCGGCACTGGAAGGCGAGACGCCGGGTTCGTAGCGCTAACCACTCCGCCCCAGAAAACGGGCACACAATAACCCCAACATTTTAGTGGACACAGAAGTTGTTAGGAAGGACATGCAAACCCCCCCACCCCCACCCCTAAATTGTCCATTTTGCTCCGCTATATTGTACTGTGTACTAAACATTTACGCATAGTTTAGTGGTTTCAATATCGATAGGCTGTATGATACAGTAGAGCAATACGCGCATTTACGTCTTCCCCCTCCTACGACGTTCCGCAAATACGTCGTCACTTGATGAGCGCCGCTACGCTGGTTCGCCACCGTCACCCACCCTGTAAATAAATCGCCCTCTGATCGACGTCGTTTCGTCCATGCGTCGTCGCAGGAACGAATCCGCCGACGTAAAGCGGGGTGTTGCCGTCGTAAAGCGGGACGTTGCCGTCGTAAAGCGGGGTGTTGCCGGGGGTGATCAATGAAATCCCAGACCCAAAATGTTCACGCTAACGACCCATCGGGGCTCCTGCGCCGTTCGCTGTAAATCCGTTGCTGTGGTAAACGCACTTCCGTGTGGAGATGCGGGAATGTATGTATATATATGTGTGCGCGATGATGTGTAGTGTAGTGCAGCGATCTAGATTTGAAGTTTTCGTGACTGCAGGGATCCATACTCTTTGGTTCTTTCGGTGACATCATCACGTGGGTGTAGTAGTGCAGTGGGTAGCACGGTAGTGCAGTGGGTAGCACGGTAGTGCAGTGGGTAGCACGGTAGTGCAGTGGGTAGCACGGTAGTGTAGTGGGTAGCACGGTAGTGCAGTGGTTGGCGCGGTAGTGTAGTGGTTAGCGCGGTAGTGCAGTGGGTAGCACGGTAGTGCAGTGGGTAGCACGCTGCGCTATGAATCCCGTGAAAACCCACTTCGTTTCCCGCTCACGGCCATCAACACCGGTGACGATTGTTTGAATCGATCATGGGCCTCCCCTAGGTCGACTCAGCCTTAAAATTAGTACTTGGTTGCCGTGTGCAAACATCGCCACTGGGGAGACAAAGGCGGCCGCGCGTGTTGCTGGCCACCGATAGGTGCTCGCTAACAGCACTTGTCCCAACAGTCTGTTAAGGTTTGTGGAGAATCTTTGTCTTTTAATTTTGTATATATATGATAGTGTATATATATAATTACTGCAATGTTTAGATAGCAAGCGATATGCGTAAGCTTTTGGGATATCTTTTTTTTACAAGGCCAATCATCCGAAACGTCGAAACGACCAATTTTCTGTGAAGTAAGAATAAGGAATATAACTTGGCAATAAACGTTATCGTAGACTATATATTTTATGTGGTTAGCTCAATCTGCAAGTTTACACTGTTATAGGGGGTTACACATTCGTGCGTTTAATAACGTAGTTCACGCTTTGTTGAAAAATTGATGTTCATTTATCTTGTAAATTGGTCGGTAAAAAACAACGTTTGTCCTGTCTCCAACACGTGTATATTCACACGTGGTTGTGTAACGGAGATATATACTCTAGGAAGTGTTACATGCGGTGTATACACGTGATATGTATATGCGTATATACATATAGATTCACGTGCTGTGTAGATACATGTCCTGCAGTCACTAATCTGATGTATAATTCAAACGTATACTCACCGCCTATGTTATCACTTGTAGCTGAGTGCTGAAACATCACGCACACATACGCGATTTATATTCTTTATACGATTTTCGTGTCTTTAACCTCTCTTAACAGCAGTGCCCAGCGCTTAGGGTGAAGTATGGTCACGCAACCCTCCCTCCCCACGATGATCGACGGGGCGTAGGCAGGGAGGCCTTCATCTAGCAGTGGATTAACAATGTGGGGGGGGGGGGGACTGTAACTTTACTTGTTAGTTACAAAGACGCGTGTCCTCTTTGCCTGTCCGTGTAACTCAACGCGTTTTATGTTCGGATGTTTGAGAGAGTGGAATCGTGTTGTGTGTGTGTGTGTGCGGTGTGTGTTCGTGTGTGTTGGTGTGTGTC